TTTTCTATTTTATTGTTTTGTGTTGGCTTTTTATATGCTAATGACCTACTAAAATGATTTCATACTCCTTCCTTCTGACCTTCTTGACCTGGTTATGTAGAGTTAAAAAAAAAAGCCAAGACACTCACTGTATGTGGTAAACTAACCCTTTCCAGCACACTGGAATGGTACACTCTGCACATCTCTTGGGAGAATTGACAAAACTGTCTCCCTAGACATTTTCTGTGGGGCTTGCTTCTCTCATGGAGCCCCACATGAGAAAAAAGTACACAGACGAAAAGCTGTTGTAAAAGGGAACTTAGGACAAAAAAAAATCAATATCTAACATTTTTTAAAGTCATGTCTTTTAAAAACAGCACTAACAATCCATTGTATTAAAAAAATTTAATACATCCTATATTTATTAAAACATGGGAATACTATTCCCAAAGCATTCTAAAACTTTACAATAAAATCAGGGAACTCCTATACTATTAAAAGACTAGGGCCACAGGGAGGGGAAGTGGGTAAAAAAACTCTGAAAACTCAATCACTATAAACTCTTTATCAAGACTCACTAAAGAAAATGGTGAACAGAACAAACTTTGACCCAATCCAAACAAGTCTGTGATGGGCTCCATTATCCAAAAGGTGATCTCAACCAGACTTTGAATGGGCACCATTTCCAATGGAACCAATTCACATACCTATTTGAGTTGCAGTCTCCTAGTATAATTTTTAAATATTTGTTTCTTATGACAGACCTGTTTCACATGTTCAATAAATGAAGATGTTTGGGAGGAATTCCCATGTACATATTAATATTTCAGTTATCATTCAATACCATCTGATATTTCTAAACAAAAGGCTTTCAACTTCCAAAATGCTTTCACATTTGATAAGTTATACTAAGTTGTATGTATAAACTATATACATTTTAAAAGATCAAGCCATTATTTAAAAAACTATCCTGCTGGGTGGTGGTGCACACCCTTAATCCCAGCACTCTGGGGACAGAGGCAGGCAGATCTGAGTTCGAGGTCAGCCTGGTCTACAGAGGGAGTTCCAAGACAGCCAGGACTACCTAGAGAAACCCTGTCTTGGGGGGAATCCATGGGCCAGGGAAGTTTCCTACCTCAGTAGTAGAACACATGCCTAGCAAGGGGAAAGCCTTGGGTCTGACCTCAGAACTAGAAAAATTTTAATACCAAATATTAAAAAATTTACTTGCTTACATCATTAGGGTTATAACAAGAAGCATGTTTCCTAAAATATCCAGCATCCTGGAAGAGAGGAAAAATATGTTCCAGATCACTGCAGAAACAAAAATGCAAAACTAAAGGGAGTGGAAGGATTAATGCTTTCTTCAGGAAGGAATGAACTGAAGCTCAACCCAGGGCTAACACAAGCTAAGCGCTTTCTCTACCAACGAGGAAAAAAATATTTTTAAGTTGTTTATCTTTAGGACATCTGTCTGCATCACAGATAACCTAAAAACCAATATACTCCCTTAGCTACAGAAAGTAAAAACTACACTATCATACTAGAGTAAACCAGTTTGACTTTGAAATCTTAGTTGTAATAAACTTTAAGGGCATATACCATATCACCCTTTTTAAAAGAATTTGTATGTGTCGTGTGTGAATGTTTGTTTGAATATATTTATATGCCTGTTGCTTTCAAAGGCCAGAAGAGGGCTTCAGATCCCCCTGGGACTGGAGTTACATATGGTTGTGTGCTGGGACCAAAGCTGTTTCCTCAGCAAGAGCCTCCAGTGCTCTTCTCTCAGAGATGCTCAGTCTGGTGCTGGGTGAAGAATCACCTACAGCTCTGTTACCAGCTAACTAAAACTGACCTCTTCCTAGCTACTTGAAAATAATCTTAAGCAACACCCTTCAGGTTTATCTGTGAATGATAAACTTGCTTAAGCCTTGTTCTAAAAGCAGAAACTCAATGAGTCTGATTCTTATCTATCTGAATACCAACTTAAGACATGAAAAAAAAATTAGGAGAAAATAGCATTTTTGCATATTAGTTGTACAGTCTAAAACCCAAAAACCTTTTATAATAAAAAGCACACCAAAAACCTACCATCAGAATCTGGAAATACCCATTCTACAGCACCACCCAAGCATTATCTAAAATTATATGCACATTTTTGAGACAAGATCTCATCATGTAGCCCTCAATCTCCCTATGTAGCCAAGGATGACCCTCCTACTTGCACTTCCCAAATACAGAAATGCAGGTACACCACCCCCCAGGCTTACATAGTGCTAGGGATCAAACCCATAGCTTTGTGCAGGTCAGGCAAGCTCTCTACCAACTGAACTATGTACCCAGACCCATCATGCATTTTTCTGATAGAATCCAAAATAGTTTAGTTTCTACAAAGAATAAACAGTTCTCCTCTAAGAAGTTAACCTTACCCCACTTACTCCTAGAATCTAAATAGACTTAACTATGCAAATTAAACATTAGTTATGCAAATAAGCAGCTTCTTGGACATTACTAATATAATTTCTGTTCCTTAAAATTAGTCACAACATTTCTAACAAGTCCCTACATTTTCAGGTTTCTTTTTATTTTAATCCAAAACCAGTATTTTGACTACATAAACCTTATCAAATTACAATGGTCTCAGTAAATATAATTTCCTTCACATAGCAGGTTAAGGTGCTCACCAGTCTTCAGGGTAAACAAAAGACTGATTTGATTTTGGGGGTGGGGTTCTGTGTAGCTTTGTAGACCAGGCTGGCCTCAAACTGACAGAGATGTACCTGCCTCTGCCTCCTGAGTGCTGGGATCAAAGGCGTACACCACTACCAATGCCCGACCCGATTTGATTTTTTTTAAATGGAGTTTCCTCATTAATTTGGTTTGTCTGACAATCAACAACTAAAATCCCTGGACTAGCAGAATACTTTCCTGTGTAAGTATTTAGTTTTGTGCAGTAGAAAATTGAAGAGCCTGTGCTAAACGAAGCTCTAATACCTCAAATGCAGCTTCGGCTGCTTCAGGGAAATCTACTTTCAACTCCTTCTACAGCATCCAGGTACATACCTGACACACCTGACAGGAAGAAACAGTCCAAGTCACTTCCCTCACAGATCCTTAAAAACTACCTTTCCATGTTTAAAGGAGGAAATTTTAAAACATGCAGTTAGCGGCATTCTAAAAACTGCTTAAGCATGTGTTAAATATAGACCCATTTTTTTCCTAAAACCTTTGATGAGATTTTCTTAAATTCCCCTAATGTCCTTCAATTCACCCAAAACTGGAAACAACGTGGCAGCAAACTGAGAAAAACAGAAAAGAACTAAAATAAGGAGAGGGGCTCTTAGATCCTCCCCCAAAAATATATCTGTATTACTGTATTCCAAATGAAGGACAGATTCAATTGTTTCAGTAAATTTATCTTTTCAAAACAAACTCAGCCATATTTCCCAGATGGGTTTTCATCCAAGCACAGAACAGGTGGTTCTAAGATTGCTTGTCAAGAGGAGTGACGAGCAAAGCAAAGGTCCGTCAATAATGCAGCCTTGGCCAGACATGCAGGGTAGTGGCCCTAATTAGCTAAGGCTAGACAGAGCATCAAAAGAATCATTCTGCATTTTCAAATCTAGATCCCGAGCAGGAACTCCAACACCACACAAGCAGAGCTATAGGCAAGTTTCACACTTTGAAGTAATGGCATCAAGCCAATCCTGCTTTAAACCAGTTAACACTGCACCTGAAGAATAAAACTTATCTAGTGGCCACTGCTGAGGAGTTTCAGTGATAACTGGAAAAGTCTGAACTGAATTCTCTCCATGTTGAGCTTCAGAAGCAAACCACTACCTTAGAGGACACTGATGTTCCTTCAAAGGCTGAAGCACAGAACACCCAATATTAAACTATAATTTATACCTAACTCTGCTGTGAACAACCTTGAGTAACTTAATAAACTTTCTTCCAATTAACAGAAAGAAAGTGGTATTTCAAAGGGAAAAAAACTAAATAATGGAAAACTTTAAAGTTGATAAAATGTGGCCAATCTTCTGTCAAGAATTAATTAAATAAAATACATGAAAAATAGCTCCAGACTAATGCTTAATACATTTTAAACTGTGCTAGGTATATTACATGCTAATTTTAAAAAGTAGAAAAAAATATAAAAAATAACCACATCAAGGTTTAACACTTCACACCTGTCTTTCACCCATGCATTCAGATCTTAATTGGTTATCTTAAACTACCAAATAATGCAGTGGAAAGAGTGATGCTAAAATCTCTTTTGCTGATAGCTCAATCAGTAATATTTTGTTAATTTGAAATAGCCTTTATTCTGCTTCTGTCATTATTTTTTAAAAGCATTCCTTTCTTTTGTATTAAAAACAAAATCCTGAGCCAGACAATGGTGGCACACGCCTTTGATCCCAACACTCAGAAAACAGAGGCAGGCAGATCTCTGTGAGTTCAAAACCAGCCTGGTATACAGAGTGAGTTCCAGAATAGCCAGGACTACACAGAGAAACCTTGTCTTCAAAGCCAAAACCCAAAATCCTGGTTACTAGTACAAATTACTAGTACAAAGGGTCTCCATCTGACTTGTGTACAGCTCAATCCTCTATCCCCAAGAACAGAAACATCAAAAACCACTGATGTAGCTCTGAAAAGCAGTTGTGAGCCACCACCAAACCTGTATCATTTGCAAATGGAGATAACAACACCAAAGTGCAAACTATCTTGACTCCTAGGCAACAGATTTAGTCAAGAACCAGGATGTGTGAAAGATTGACCAAGAGAAGACTGAGGCTCATTCTCTTACCTGAAAAATGGGAATGACCCTGCTTCTCTCAGGTGGGGATAGACAGGAAAAAAAAAAAAAAAAAAAAAACACATTACGGGCAAATTTGAAAACAGGACATTGATGGTTTTTTGTTGTTACATGAGTAAGCTGAGCTTTATAAGACAAAGCTATAGACACAGAATTAAGAAACCATTACCACTATTCAAAACCACTACTTAAAACAGCAAACTTGCCTTTGACTGGGTTCTCTTTCCATTTCTCATGCTAAACTTCTCTTTCATTTCTTCTAAAATTATCTTCAGTTTCTTTTCTTCAGGTGTTCCTAGGTATTTTTGGTTCACATGAAGGTAACAGTGCCACTTGGCTGATTCAAAGCCCCAGTGGCAAGTTCTTTTGTCAGGTGATCTGTGAGAATGCATGACAAATGTCTGGGGTGCAAACATTCCACAACACTCCAGACACTGGATACAAGGAGCATCAGGCTGAACATAAAACTGAGGTGCAAAGAGACCCTGACATTTGCCCAAGCATTCATGTTCTACTTCAAAGGCACTGCCAGTTTCCTTTAACTGGGCCAATGAGTTCTTAGCAGGAAGTATGCTACCATTTTGAGGAAAAGTCCGAGGCCGCAGTAGAGCATTACAGAGTCTCTGGGCATCAGTCAATGTGATCAACCCACAGGATGGAGCATTAAACGGAAGTATTCCTAGGACCTTTAAGATATGAAGCTGGTCTGAAGTACACCTTGAACAATATATGTATAGCTCATCACACACTGTGTTTATTTGCTGGAGTGAAAATTCTCGGAGAACAGAATTTAAGACTTGGGGCAAACAGAGTCTCTTTTCTCCTCCAACTTGAAAACAAGAAATAGACTCCCCTTCCAAAACAGTCTGCGTGAGCTCTGTGGAGCTATCAGAAGGAATGAGAAGAGGGCCGGGAAGAACCTGAGGAGATGGAAGAGGCAAGAATACAGTCGGTGACATGCTTTCTTGGGAGTATCGGGCAGAAAATGCTGCTGGCCCACCCAAAGAACTCTGGCTACTTAAATGGAATTGTGCCAGTGTGTGTTTCAGGCTGGGGTTTAAATTTAAAGTTTCAGGGATGGAAGTACAGTTTCGCTTAGCATGCTCTCCATCTGACTCCACTGATGCATCTCCATAGTCGTCCAAATGTTCCTTCTTCACCTTGGTCAGCGTTTTTCCATTGGCATGAATGTCTGTCATCATTTTCTTCAAAGGAGGGCTGCCATCATCCTCCATTCCATTCAGTTTTTTATTTGAACCCTGAACTAAGGAAAAACTTGACTGTAGGTTTTCCATGGCTACACTGGTGTTTTAAATAATTAAATCTGCAATGGGCATGTTGTACTCAGTTGCTAATTTGAAGAGAAAGGGGTAATGTATACAAATATGGCCCCCTTAGAAAATCTTAGTTTGCAAAGATGAATTTTCTTAATAGATTTGTGCAAATTTTTTTTTTTTTAGTTATACCTTAGGGTATAACCGAAAATACTACAAAACTTCTCATTTTGCTTCTAATAATAAAGAATATAATCAGAAGCAGACTTCTGAGGAAAATCTTGTTTTCTTGACTTCTTCAGATATTTGTATTAAAAAGAAAAAAAAAAGGCTAATTTCTCAATTCAAGATGTCCAAGGTTTGGTGTAATGGTTGAGTTTGGTGGTTTTGCCTTTTAAGCAAAGCATTGGCAACTACACCCAAACATGAGTTACAATGATGCAACAGATTTAATCTTTGCCAAGGAAACCAAAGGGGGTAGAGTATCGTCACTGAAAATGGTGGTCTGCCTCTGTGTCCACAAACTGAAGACTTGAGACTTGTCTAAACCACCACCAGTAACAGCCTGACTCCACCTGAACTTCTGTTAAAAAAAAAAAAAAAACTAAAAAAACTGCTCAGTTATCTTCAAGGGTTACAGTTCATTCTTCTTTCAAATGACCTGGAAGGAGAAAGGGGTGGGGAAGAGTTACAACTGAATTTGCTCCAGAGGCCAAAGGGTCACTTTAAAACCAGTTTCTTAATCGTAAACTCAGTTCACTTTACCAAAGGTAACACTTCAGTGATCTCCTTCAATCAAACATGAGAGTTATCTAAAAGAAGCAACCCAGAAGGTGGATATCAGGAACATTAAATATCCCTCCCAACGAGGAAGAGCACAAATTTAGAATACAAATAAATAACTACCAGAGGCTTTCTCAACTATGCCATCTTAAATAAAAAATTATCTTCTTTTATCTCATAAACCCTGTAGTTTCAGCTCTCCAAAAGGCCCAGATACATGTTAATACACCTACCATATGTAACAAGTTAGTTTCAAGTGGATTAATTCATCTAGTCAATATAAACTATCTTTCTGAAATTAAGGAGAAAAATTAAACTTTCCCTTTAAAAGGTTAGCGAATTCGCTTAATAGTAGTCAAAAGCTGTAAGACTCCATGCCTGGAAATCTCCATCCTTGAGCAAGACTAATCCGGGACAAAAAAGCACAAGGCAGACAGACCTCACAAAGAATGCAAATGGAGGCAGAGTGGAGGGGGGAGAATCTTTTTCCACTCCCCTCCGGGGAGAAAACCCAATGAAAGCGGATAAATAAAAACCTTTGCTTTCTAAACTCCCTGCGACTTAACATTATCACAAAACCCAAAGGATGACCGCCGAAAACCATCTAGCCGCCGTACTGACTTTCGCCACTTCAGGGACACCTCAGCCAAGGCGATCGAAGGAAAAGGGCAGGAGGCATGACCTAGCCCAGGGGCGCCCCACAGACCTGCGCCCACGCAGACACCCACCCACCTTCAACCGACGGAGGTAGGACAGGAAAGCAGGGGACTCCGGACGTCTGGCGAGGTGAGAGGGGGCAGAAGGAAGTAGAGGGAGGAGTCCTCCCAACCCCCACCCGAGACTGGGATCACCCCAAGTGCCCTCCCCACATCGCCCCACTGCGGGGGCCGCCGATGGAAATCCCCACGCAGCCGGCCCGCGGGAAGTTCTCTGCGGTTACCTCGGCACCCCAGGGCTGCGCCACCCCCCTTCACCTACCCCGAGCCGTGGCACCCAGAGGGGCGCGGGCAGGCTGGGCGCCAAGCCCGGAAGCCCGCAAGCCCGCGTCGCCGGACACTCAGACCAGGGACCAGCCCGGGGCATCCCCGCCGAGCGCAGACGGCCGGGGGCTGGCGACGATGACCGGCGTCCCAGTCTCCCGGGTCCCGGCCGCTCGGGTCAAGTGCAGCGCTATCCCCCCCCCAGCCAGCCGACCAGTCCCAGGACCCGCGAGGCCTGTACACCCGTGGGACCCCCGCCGCGCGCCCCGTGCCCGCGACCCCGCCCGGGACCCCACGCATCCCGGACGCCCCACTCGGGCCCTCCGCACCCCGGGGAGCTCCATGGGGTCTGCGGCCTCCCCATCACCCCCGCTGCCGCCTCAGCGTCCCCAGAGGCCGCACGCCCCTCTCGTCCCCTCGCGACCTGCGGCCGCACCTGTGCCCGCCGTGGCCGTCGCCGCCGCCGCCGCTCGCCCGCCGCCTTCGCTGTGCCTTCGCAGTGCCGGCGCCGCTCCGAACCCCACACACATCGCTACACACAGCCTCTGACGTCACCCGGCCCTCGGCCCGCCCACGTCACTGCGGAGACACGGCTTCCCGCAGACGCCGCCGCCGTCTCCGGCCGCCCGGGGGGACAGCGAGGGCGGCGGGCGGAGGAGGGGAGGGAACGAAGCCAGCGGCGCCGCGCGGCCCCGCGCCAGCCAGCCCGTCGGGCGCGCGCGCCGTCTGGCCTATTGTGGCTGCTCGCGGGCTGCGCGCTCGCGTCCCTCCAGCCCCACCGGGGGGCGCGCGCCTGGCGCCTCAGCCGCGCACGCGCGTGCGCCTGTCCTCCTCCCCTCCCCCCCCTGCCGCGCGCGTGCCCCGCGCTGCTGCTGGCCCGGCGCGCCGTCTGGGCGGCTGGCGCACGGCGCTGTCTGCGGTGCCCGGCGCAGACAGGATGTTCCCTCGGCCCCACCCCCGCCGCCCTCCTTCCTTCCTCGAGTCGCCCAGCCGGCTGTCTGGGGCCGCCCCCGCCACGCCCGCTGCCGTGTGGAGACGGGCCAGACCCGGGGGCGCCCCGGCCGCTGTGCCGCCGCGCGGCGGGGGAGGAGCGGGGGGGAGAACGAAGGGGGAAGGGGCAGGGCGCGGCGGGATGCACTGAGCGCGACCCCGGCAGCTGGCCGCGCCCGGGGTCAGGCTCGGCCACCCCCCCCCCACCCCGCGGCCGCAGCTGGCCGCCCGGCCCCGCCCCGGAGGTCGCCTGCGGGCGGCTCCCCGCCGCGACCCCTGGGGTGAGCCCGCCGCGCAGACGCCCCCGCCCGGAGGCGGCGGCCCCCCTTCCCCCCCAGCCGGCGTGCAGACGTCGCGGGGCCCCTCGCCCCTGTGGGGCCTCCCGCCGCCACCACCGCCGCCGCCCTGCCAGCTGCCGGCTCTGAGCCCCGCCTGGCCGCGCTGGGGTGGCCTCGCCCGGCCGCCATCGTGAGGGAGGCCGCGGTTTCCACCCCGCCGGGACAGACCTGGCCGCCCCAGCTGCTCTCGCCCTCCATAAGTGACCCGTTCTAATTCACTGAGCGCTTTCGTTTGGGGTTTTCGGGTTTTTCTTTTCTTTTCCTCCAGAGACGAGAGGAGGTGGAGAAAGATAACCACTTTAGAGCTGTCGGCTGCCACCTCGGGCGGGCGGCAGGGGGTGGGTGGGGGGGAGTTCCTGGCCAACGTACCCAGGAGAGTCAGTTCGAATATTCAGCTCTGTGGAGCTGATCCGTCACATTTCGAAACACCAAGAAATCCCCTGCTCTCCACCCCACCGCAGGATCAGGAACTGAAATAGCGCAGCGAGTAACACTGCGCAGACTTAGGGAACTTAAGCTTCGGGCGGCCGTGCAACCCCCTCCACCACCACCCCGGCCCCCCCCCCGCCCTTTTTCTTTTCGCCCAGTTACTCATTTTACCGCTTCGGGGTTACTCATGTTTGGGTCCACAATTGCAGCTGTCCAATTGGGAGTACTTTTGTGCTCGAAGGTTTTTCTCTCTTTTCCTCCACAATAGGTCTAACAAACCTCCTCACCGCCCCCCACCCAGCTCCTGTCGGCCCCCATCTCCGTGCTCCCAGGTCATGCCCCTCTCCCACCTCCTACCCTCCACTCCTTGACTGCTTGCCTGTGTGAACATGAATAATTCCACAGCACTTCCCATCTGTTATTGCCATAGAGACAGAAGCTCAGCAAAGATAATGATGTTCTGTGCAGAGCCAGTGGGGGGAGAGCAGCATCTGCGAGTCTGGGGGAATAGATGTTCTAACCGCCAGAACATTCAGAGGCCTGCCTGGAAAGCGGAGGTGAAAGCCAGGACAGTCCTGAGACTAAGCACCTGGTCACCTTGCACCTGGCTCTGAATGTAGCCAGAAGAAACAAATTTAGAAAACAAGATAACACTCTGTGTATGTGTGTGTGTTCTGTGTGTGTGTGTGTATGTGTGTGTGTGTGTTTAAGCGGTTCTGAAACTTTAATTAGTGCTAAATATTTAGTAGTCCTCTTAACACCCATAAAAGTAATTACTTGTTAGCATGGCCAAAGGCCTAAGAAACAAAATTGGACAATAGACAGACTTTTTAGAAAAATCAAATACATTTTCCTTCTGTACTTTTGTTCCCTCCAGGAATCTGTATTTGAGGGAAGGATCTTTTGTGTCTGTGATGGCACTTGAAAACATAATCACAGCCATGTGGCTAGAACCAAGCTTTGGGGGCATTTTCAGCATTATTCTCAATTACAAAGTAAAATGCTTGTTGCCCTTGAATTCCCAAGTTCTCGGCCTAAAGATACAGCTTGGAATAAAAGGGATCCTAAGCAGAGCCACCTGCAGAGCTTTGCTGCTCTAATCCACATCTTTGAAGACTACTTCAGGGTTTTCAGTATTATCAGTAAAATGTATAAATGTAAAATTGGGGCTACGGCTGCAGCCTAGTTGAGAGTGCTTGCTGGCACACGTGTCTTGGATTGACCATAGTACTGCATAAACAGGTAATCCTAGCATTCAGGAGGTAGAGGCAAGAGGATCAGAAGGTTACAGCCATCGTCAGCTAAATAGTAAGAGGCTAGCCTGCACTACAAATCTATCTCAAGGGGAAAAAAAAATTTTTTTTCAATTAAAGACACTGAAAGCAAATGATGGATCATGATTCCAGAAACAGATCTGAGCAGAGAAAATACAGGCCTTAGAAAAAATTGTGGGAGTTGGGCTTAGTTCATCTGCCAAGTATCTACTATACAAGCATGAAACCTACCTAACATCCAGACACAGGAATGCTCATCTGTAACCCCAGCTAAGGGGAAACAGATTCATGGAGCTCAACCACCACCCTAACTGCATCCATAAGCTCCAGGCTCAGTAAGAAATCCTGTTTCCAAAAGTAAGGTGGAGGGGCTTGGAGAGATGACTCATCAGCGCCATCTTGTTCTTTTAAAGTACCCACACAGTGGCTCACAATGGTGTGTAAGTCCAAGGCATATGGATGTACTCTTCTGACCTCCTGGAGCACCTAGCATGCATACATACATACATACATACATACATACATACACATGCCAAACTCTCCTAAAGTGAAATAATGTGGAAAATAATCAAGGAAGATGTCTTAGTCACTGTTTGCTGTGAAGAGACATCATGACCAAGGCAACTGTTAAGAAAGTAATTGTGGGCTTGCTTATAGTTTCAGGGGCTGAGTCCATTATCATCATGGCAGGAAGGAAGCATGGCCAGGCATGGCAGGTAGGCGGGGTGCTGGGGA